ACTTTAGAACACCCTTTGACAAGACAAATTATTCTCTTTTATCTCTGTTATTACAATACAAGCTGTGAAACTCACTTTAAAAATCCCCTTTTATGGCTAATTCACAAGCTGTCTAACTTCTATTTTACTCTCACTTTCACTAACTTACTTACTCTCTGTATCTACAAGTATTTATAACATGCAACAACAAAATCTAGAAATATCTAGCCCTCTAGTAACAATATTACACATAATGAGAAAACTTAGAAGCTTTGAGTAAGATGACATCAACAATATTACAAAGCCTAGTACAACAATTAAACTACATACACAACATACAACTCATACAGAGTTATGTAACAAAACTTGTCATAACTATCACTTTTAAAATAATCAACTTTTAACACTCTTGTTATCAAAACTAAATAATCATTAAATATTAAGTCACTAAATAAACTAAATAATAACTCTTAAACTGAATAGGCTTATATATCCAACAGTGTTCAGTCTTGAGGTCTTTACCTTAGGAAAAATGTTGAGTTATTGTAAAAGGTTCAGGGGAGGAATACTAGGATGATACTTTGGATGGAAAGATTATCATAGAAGTATATTAGTTTGAGTTGTTAAAACGTGGCTTTCTAACAAGTATTAATTAACTCTTTAGCTTTGTTAGTAAAGCAGTCATCTGGTGAGCTACAGGTCTCAGGTTCAAATCTGAGCTGTGAAAGAATTAATCACCCCACAAGTGCAGGTTAAGATCTCTAAAATTGATTTATCTTGAAAAAAGAAGAACTTGGAGGGATCTAATTGAGGTGTTTAAGATTGTTAAGGGAATTGATAGGCACTGATACATCACTTTCTTTCATAGTTATTGATGAAAATGGTAGGACTATGGAACACAAGTGTAAATATTTGAAGGGTAGTATTAATCTTCAGCTAGGACAATTTTACTTTTCTAACAGGATGTTTGGCCTTTGAAATGGGTTGCTTTCAGATGTGGCAGATGCAGTAAATTTAAGGGAGCTTATGGGAAGGCTTGAAACTATTTGAATGATAAGGACTGTTTTTCAGATTTTTTCTTTTTTGAATTTAGTTTAGTAGATGGAATGGCCTAGATAAACTAACAAGTCCATTCTTGTCTTTAAATTTCTATATTACTTCTAGTGCAACTCAGTGATGACAAAAAAATTGAAACTTTTTATTGTGCCTGTTATAAATAAATTCTTTTAAGAGTTCAAGAATCTATGGCCATTATGACCGATAAAACAGAACTGAACTTAAATGGACAGTTCACTAAGCTTGTACATAGAATTTAATACATATAGTACCAATAACAAAAATGCCATGCATATTTTGTTTTTATCATGACAAAGTGAAATTCAGAAAATGTTTCAGTGAAGATAGAGCAATTCATTAATTTAAGCACATGCTGAAAATAAAGTGGGTGTCTACTTTCACTCAAACTGTTACATATAGGTGAAAATATCAATGGCTTCTCATTCTACTTCTCACACTTGTTCAAACTTAATCTGTTTCCCATGGCCTTTGTTTGGTACACTACATAGCAAAATTCAAACTTCAGCTCTAATAATACAACAGTAAAATTTTATGCCTCATAACTGACTAATAAATATGCTAAATATTGTAAACCCAGTCGATCTGATGAGCTCTGCTATTGAGCGTAATAATGCTTGGAGACGGTTTGAATGGGT